ATTTCTTAGCCTCAAACAGGGAACAACCATTAGTTGAGCATCTGGCACGAGGGATGATCTAGGGATGGTGAGTACTTTCGCACCCCCCCCAAAAAAGTAACATCCTACTGAAATCGCAAATTACTGTTCTATTTTTGGGGTTACAAAGATATGTTCATCTTTAGTTGATCACGACATTCGTGGATGCGGAGCAATATTAAGCCTCCATTTGTTGTTACCCTCCTTGTAAACATACAAAAAGCTATTGACAACGGCCATTTATAGTTGATTTACCCATTGAAAATGGTGGATCTTTCCATAGTTATGTAAACGTTTACCAGAGAGTTTATTAAGGCAACCATTCGGGTACTCCTGACTCAAGGTTTTTCATCGCCAGCCCTGACGATGATTATTTCGAAATCCACCAGGACCAGGACCACGATGATTATTTCGAAATCCACCGCGAAATCACCATTCTGAATAGGTAAATCGACTATAAAGCTATAAATGGCCATTTTCAATAGCTAATGTTAGTTTACCAGAGGGTATATATATATATATATATTCAATGACACGCTTCAGCAGTTCATTGGAATGGTTCCAGAGAAACTATATCATAGCTTGGTGGAAATGTCCAACACCTGTTACAGAAACACCCGGGCGTACAGATAGGGGTTTTGAAAGAAAACAGAAACACACACGAAAACCAGAGGTTTTGAAAGGAAAGCCTGCTGTGAAGAATGCATCCCAAAACCTCGTCGAATAAAGAATGGCGTAGGACCATCAATAAAATCATAAGTTTTTGGCAGGTTACCCCATCGTCTGAAAACCCAAATTTTGATAGTGAAAGCCGACAATTTAATGGTGAAAGCCCAAATTTTGATGGTGAAGAAGGTGCAATTTTTGGATGGTGAGCCGCCCTCAAGATCTGATCTAAAGTCCGAGTCGCTGGAGAACGAGGCCCTTGCCTCGCTTCACGGCGAAAGTCGCCAGGCGTGGCGGAGACGTGTAGCAAGGCCCAAAAAGACACGGTTGGTGGTTCATCATCATAACTATGGGAATAGGTGAAGCATGGTGAAACACACTTATATAGGAACAGATTTCATTGGTGGTTGATGGAACTAGAAAATAGATGGAAATAGGTGAATAAATATACTCTAAGTATAGGAAACAGGTGAAACATAGATAGTAAAAGACTTCATTGGTCATCGCACTTAGACATAATAAATCATAAGGTAAACCCAAAGTCACAAAAAATGGGTGGTATAAACCATCCCATTTGGTATGTTATTATTGGGGTTTCCATAGTACTGTAGTTTATGACTGTAACCATCTTTTTTTCAGTGGCGAGTGTTCACTTACAACTGGGGTGATCTAAACTACTTCCAGTTGGTAAGATGAACCATCAAGTACAGAAGTGCTGCACAGGTGCCGGAGCGAGTTGTTTGTGGCCAAACAGAGGGGTGGCTTCATAGAACTGAGATAACATATATATATATGTATAACCTAATATCTACAATAGATATCATGCTAAACATATATAGATCTTGCATAAGACACGTAGACATATCGGACGAATCTACTCCATTTGTATTCCATCAACGCCATCAACGTTGCCCCCCGGTGGTTGTTTCCGGCAAATCTTGGGATTCTCGTGGCGAGGAGCTAAAAGCACGTGTGCGTTCGCTCTTCCAGAAAGTGCAGGAGAGTCCTGGGGGATGTACCGCCGCTGCTTTCGGCGGCTGAATCAGGAATTCCTGGGATCAAAAGCGAGTATGATATTTGGGATCAAAATCGATTTTTGTGTCAACAGCGTATCAGGATTTTGACTCATAGCCGTATAGCACTTAAGAGGTCGCGACCACTGTTGGCTTTTCCATCCTCATGATGAAAAAGTCCCAGACTGGTGACTGGTTGGCTTTTCCATGACAGGTTGTTCCAGCCAGGAGATTTCGCATAGGATGCTGGAGACTCACACGTCAGGGACCCCAGCCGCATCAGACTCTAGACTGGTGCGGCTCCGTGGAAACTCTCCGGCTTTACGGATCCAAATGGCATTATCTTAAGGGGGTGCACCGTGCGTTTATATAGATTAATATAGATATTAGAGATTTTATTTATATTGACAATAATTATACAGTCAATTTACAGTATATTTATTTGGAGGACCTTTTTCTTTTGTTTTCCAGCCTGACTTTGTGGCTTTTGTGGCTTCTGTGGCTTTTGTGGGTGTGTGGCTTTACCATGCTTTACCTATCTATCTAATCAAATCTAACCTAATCTAATCCTCTCTAATCTAATCTTCTCTAATCTAATCTAATCTTCTCTAATGTAACCTAATCTAATCTAATCTAATCCAATTTCAATCCAATCCAATCTTACCTATCTATCTATCTATCTATCTTATCTTATCCCATCCTATCCTATCCTATCCTATCCCATCCATCCATCCATCCATCTATCCATCTAATCTAATCTAATCTAATCTAATCTCATCTCATCTCATCTCATCTCATCTCATCTCATCTCATCTCATCTCTCTATCTATCTCTCTATCTATCTATCTATCTATCTATCTATCTATCTATCTTCATTATACACCTTGTATCCCTACATGTACCTTAATCCAACCCGGAACAAATAGACCCTAAACCAACCCTAAACGACCCTAAATAGCTTTAAATAACCCTAAATAAACCCTAAACCAAACCTAAATAAACCTTAAATAAATCTTGAACCAACCCTAAAGAAACCTTAAACCAACCTGACATAACCAACCCGAAATAATCAGTAAATAAAGCTTAAACCAACTTTGAATAAACCCTAAACCAACCCTTAATAAACACTAAACCAACCCTAAATAAACCCTAGATGACTTAAACCAACCCTTAATAAACCCTGAACCAACCCTAAATAAATCTAAGCCAGCCCCAAATTACTAAAAAACCCTAAATGAGCCCTAAACCAACCCTAAATAAACCCGAAACAAACTTAAAAAAGACCCTAAACCAACCCTAAATAAATCCTAAACCCACCCTAAATAACCCGGAATAATCCCTAAACCAACACTAAATAAACTTTAAACAAACGCTAAACCAACCCTAAATAAGCCCTAAATGACCTAAACCAACCCTAAACTAACCCTTAATAAACCCTGAGCCAACCCTAAATAAATTTAAGCCAGCCCTAAATTACTAAAAAACCCTAAATAAACCCTAAACCAACCCTAAATAAACCCTAAACCAACCCCAAATAACCATAAATAACCCTAAATAAACCCTAAACCGACCCTAAACCAACCCTAAATAATCCTAAATAAACCCTAAATAACCCCAAATAAACTCTAAAACAATTTTAGATAAACCCTAAACCAACCCTAAATAAACCCTAACCCAACCCTAAATAACTCTGGATAATCCCTAAACCAAGACTAGATAAATCTTGAACCAACCCTAAATAAACACTGGCCCTAAGCCAACTTTTCATAGACCCTAAGCCAACCCTAAATAAACCTAAGCCAACCCTAAATGATCCTAAATAAACTCTAAATAACCCCAAATAAACTCTAAACCAACTTTAAATAAACCTTAAAGGAACCCTAAATAACCCCTAAACCAACCCTGAATAACACTGGATAAACCCTAAACCAAGACTAAAAAAACCTCAAACCAACCCGAAATAAACCCTAAACCAACTTTACATAGACCCTAAACCAACCCTGAATAAACCCTAAACCAACCCTAAATAACCCTGAACAAACCCTAAACCAACACTAAATAAACCTTAAATAAACTTTAAACCAACCCTAACTAATCCCTAAACAAACCCTAAACAAACCAACACCATGATAGCATCCAATGCCACTATTTAGACCCAACACGGTTGTGCTTCAACCTATATTCATTCTACATGTTCACCAGGTGCATGTTATGCATGGAAGAATCGATTGAAACCATGGAAACATTAATCAAACCCATGGCAAACTCAATGAAAACTATGGAAAAGTCGATGAACACTTTGTGTAAATCAATGAACACCATGGAAAAATCAATGAACGGTGCAAATGGCAAATTTTAGCTCCAAAATTCAGCAAAGTACATGTTTTTGCTGGCGCGCTATTTACCGTCCCACAAAAGTGACATATTGTTGCGTCAGATAACGATGAATTTGCTGACATGTCTTGTTTCTGGTGACGGCGCCCCTCGAGGAGCAAGACTGTTGTCACTTTTGTATATAAACTTTTTTTGGGGGGTTCGGGGGTTTTGGGGGGGTGTTTTTTTGGTGGGTGTAATAGCGTCCTGTGGCCTGCGTTGTCAATCACGATTTCCTGATACGTTGTAACATCTTCCTCCAGTAACTTGTAAGACGTTCCTGATACCCAAATAAGATGTAGCAAATAGCAAGGACAAGTGCCACAGACTGAAGAAAAACAAAACATATGCACCCTATTTATATATTATATATGTCTTATTTATATTATATATGTCGTATTTATATTATAGTTATGTTTTATTTATACTATATTTATGTTTTATTTATGTTGTATTTTTATTGTATTCATTATATATATACACATGTATTTACATGCACATTATATTGGTATTCTATTTATCTTACATTTGTATTTACATTATATTTACATTATATTTACATTATATTTACATTATATTTACATTATATTTATATGATATTTGTATTATATTTTATTATAGTCATATTATATTTATGATATATTTCTATTATATCGATATTTATGTTTTATTTATGCTATAGTACATTTATGTTTATATTATATGTTTGTTATATTTCTATGACCACGAAAGCTAGCTTGCTAGCTAGAGTTGGATTTGCTTTAGCAATGAATTGCGGCAGACTGGATACAGCCTCCATTATTATCATGTCGAACTGGTTTTGGGGCCCCGACATTCGGCATGGTTAATCATTTCGAATCAATATCCTCCCCCCCCGCGGGCTCAAACCCCGCTGCATCCATCCCGCTAGGTTTAATCTGCGACCAGGCGTTCGCATGCCCACGCACAAAGATATGTAAGATGATATTCACCGTGAGTGTTGTGAATAATGTAATGGAATGCAATGTAAATAAGTTGACAAACACAGCAGTCGAATACATGCTATGCATCCAGAAGCACCAATATGAACGCTATTTGACACATAAAATAGTCATGGGTGATACCTTCCCGCTGCAAGAGTTGGTGAAGGTATCAAGCGGGATGGAACGCACCCAAACATAACAGTCCAATAGACGCCATGCACCCCGAAGCATTGAGATAAATGCCATTGGATACGAATGATTGATATGAATGATACCTGCAGCAGGATGATTTGGTGAAGGTATCAAGCAGGATAGAACTTAGCCAAACACAGCAGTCTGCATGAGGAAGCGCCAATATGAACGCCATAATCGAATTTAGTCTAGTCTAATCTAATCTAATCCAATCTAATCTAATCAATCTAATGTAATGTAGTGTAATGCAATGTAATGCAATGTAATGTAACGTAACGCAACGCAACGTAACCTAACGTAATGTAATGAACGAAAGAACAGCCATGAGCAACCACTTGGATTCTTGCACTCCTTTTCCTCAAGACGTTTGCATGAAAACATGACCCAGTCTTGAAGAGGAATGGAAGATGGGCATCTTAAGATCCCAAGCAGTTCTTGCTCGATGCATGTCTGTACCTAAGTTACCAGATTTTAAGCATGGGTTTTTGGTAGGACGGATTTGGCTCGACCTTTTTTCTCAAGTTTAATTCAAAATTGAAATTGAAAAGGTTGCGCCACATATTCTCTCAATACACATCTCTCCTGGCCCAACCAGCTTTCGTCCCCTTCCTTTTGGCCTGAAGTATTTATATTTATTTTTTTTTATATTTATGCTATATATTTTATTTTATATTTATGCTATGTTTGGATTTATGTATATTACATTTGGCCCGTAGTCATTTTCTATCATATCTTATTATGTTCTATATCAGCATTTCGCAGTTAGCCCTAACAGGCCCTAAGAATTGTTCCTGTGACAGGTGCTGATGTAGGAAGACGCAGCGCCCGTTTTCACCGGGTGAGGTGCGCCGGCATGCTGCAGCCATGGCACTCCACTTTTTTCACCCGTAGCAGGGGTTACAAAGACGCAAGCTGCAAGGACGATGCCCAAAATGATCAAGGCGGATCGGACTGCTCTCCTTCTGTGCCCGGGTCTCGGCCGGTCCGCAACATGACAGGGTGTTTTGATAGCATGTGCCTCACCACAGGCACAGACATGAGTACGTACTTCGCTCTGTTGGCAGGCAGCTGCCTCGGGGATTCCTGGTTCCGCTGGTGTTGTGGCCTCAAATTCTGCACGTGATAGCCTTGAATGCTTGGATACAGTATGGCGACACCACGACATGAAACCCTTCATGCCCCCATATTGTTGTCACGCCCGTTTCAAGCTCTTGTCTTTTCATCGTTTGTTGACCACCAACATTCATCACCGTTCTGAACACTGACATGCTTCATTGCGTGCGCTCCTGCTTCTTGTTCTGGAACCAAAGGCATGCCATCTCCTTGTTTGAACGCGTAGTCTTTCGCTGTTTGTGGGTTGCAGCCGTGCGCTCCTCAGGATCTATAACCGCTTCGACGATTACAAGGCCTGCATCATGCGATTACCTCATTGCACCACTCATCCGCATGTGCGTCCATGGAGAAATCATCTCATGTCATTTCCTTTCTACCTTAGCGCGTTCATGTATACAATGTTCCCCAGATCAGTAGACACTCAATAACGGCATCAACGCTACGTGCGCTGGCTTCTTGTGGGGCTACCCTCTAGCGCGATATCTTCCGGTTACTCGATGCAATGCCGAGTCAAAACCGTGCTTAAGGGAGCAACTTAGCAGGTTTCGGCAACGGCGGGCTGCTTCGTCAGTGCGGCGCCCCATCCAGAAACATCGCTTATTCTTTGTGCGTCCCTTTCTTTTTCCCGAGAGCGTCTGAGCGCAGGGTTCTTCCAATAGTGGGGGTCTGTAAAACATCTTCTCATCTTCACATCTTCTCATCTTCACATCTTCTTATCCTCACATCTTCTCATCTTCACATCTTCTCATCTTACATCCTCACATCTTCACATCCTCACATCTTCACATCCTCACATCTTCACATCTTCTTATCTTCACATCCTCACATCTTCACATCCTCTCTCTTCACATCTGCTCATCTTCACATCTTCTCATCCTCACATCTTCTCATCTTCACATCTTCTCATCCTCACATCTTCTCATCCTCACATCTTCTCATCTTCACATCTGCTCATCTTCACACCTTCTCATCCTCACATCTTCACATCCTCACATCTTCACATCTTCTCATCTTCACATCTGCTCCTCTTCACATCTTCTCATCCTCACATCTTCACATCTTCTCATCCTCACATCTTCACATCTTCTCATCTTCACATCTTCTCTCTTGCCCTCTTGCTCTCTTGCCCTCTTGCTCTCTCCTTCTTTTCTATTTCTCTCTTGAAGGCGCGGGGCAGCGCCAACGAGAAGGCACGAACCGCAACCCTTTCGCACGAAATGAGGTTAGATCACCAAAAACGGAAGTAAAATTAAGATTTGCAAGTCGTCCCGCGAACCCTTTCGCACGAAATGAGGTTCGATCGCTAAAAACTGCGGTAAAATTGCGATTTGCAAGTCGTCCCGCGCAACCCTTTCGCACGAAATGAGGTTCGATCGCTAAAAACTGTGAGGTAAAATTGCGATTTGCAAGTCGTCCCGTGAACCCTTTCGCACGAAATGAGGTTCGATCGCCAAAAAGTGAGGTAAAATTGCGATTTGCAAGTCGCCCCGCGAACCCTGTCGCACGAAATGAGATTCGATCGCTAAAAACTGCGGTAAAATTGCGATTTGCAAGTCGTCCCGCGAACCCTTTCGCACGAAATGAGGTTGCGTCTGTGTGTGAGAGCGTCTGTGTGTAAAAGCCTCTGTGTGTAAAAGCGTCTGTGTGTAAAAGTGTCTGTGTGTAAAAGCCTCTGTGTGTAAAAGCGTCTGTGTGTAAAAGCGTCTGTGTGTAAAAGCGTCTGTGTGTAAAACTGTCTGTGGGTAAAACTGTCTGTGTGTAAAACTGTCTGTGTGTAAAAGCGCCTGTGTGTAAAACTGTCTGTCTGTCAACTGTCTGTGTGTAAAAGTATCTGCGTGTAAAACTGTCTGTGTGTAAAAGCGCCTGTGCGTAAGAGTGTCTGTGTGTGAAATTGTCTGTGTGTAAAAGTGCCTGTGTGTAAAAGTGTCTGTGTGTAAAAGTGCCTGTGTGTAAAAACTGCTGTGTGTAAAAATCTGTGTGTAAAACTGTCTGACTGTAAAACTGTCTGTGTGTAAAAGTATCTGTGTGTAAAGCTTTCTGTGTGCAAAAGCGCCTGTATGTAAAAGTGTCTGTGTGTAAAACTGTCTGGGTGTAAAAGGGCCTGTGTGTAAAAGTGTCTGTGTGTAAAACTGTCTGTGTGTAAAAACGTCTGTGTCTAAAAGCCTCTGTGTGTAAAGGCGTCTGTGTGTAAAAGCCTCCGTGTGTAAAAGCGTCTGTGTGTAAAAGCGTCTTGGTGTAAAAGCGTCTGTGTGTAAAAGCGTCTGTGTGTAAAAGCGCCTGTGTGTAAAACTGTCTGTGTGTAAAAGTGTCTGTGTGTAAAAGTGTCTGTGTGTAAAAGGGTCTGTGTGTAAAACTGTCTGTGTGTAAAAGCGCCTGTGTGTAAAAGTGTCTGTGTGTAAAAGCGTCTGTATGTAAAACTGTCTGTGTGTAAAAGCGCCTGTGTGTAAAAGTGTCTGTGTGTAAAAGTGTCTGTGTGGAAAAGCGCCTGTGTGTAAAACTGTCTGTGTGTAAAAGTGCCTGTGTGTAAAAGCGTCTGTGTGTAAAAGCGTATGTGTAAAAGCTTCTGTGTGTAAAAGCTTCTGTGTTTAAAAGCTTTTGTGTGTAAAAGCGTCTGTGTAAAAGCTTCTGTGTGTAGAAGCGTCTGTATGTCTGTAAAAGTGTTTGCGTGTAAAAGTGTCTGCGTGCAAAGCGTCTGCGTGTAAAGCGTCTGTGTGTAAAGGCGTCTGTGTGTAAAAGCCTATGTGTGTAAAAGCGGCTGTGTGTAAAAGCTTCCGCGTGTAAAAATGTCTGTGCGCAAAAGCTTCCGTATGTAAAAGTGCCTGTGTCTAAAAGCATCTGTGTGTAAAAGCGTCTCTGTGTAAAAGATTCTCTGTGTGAAAAACTTTACAAAAGATACGATGCAAACTATTGTCTTGTACTTGTAATATATTGTCTTGATACTACTCTTCTCGTCTGCCTATAAAACATCTTTAGTATATTGTCTTGTAATATGGTGTCTCCATACTAACAACAGAAGACCCTGCTCCTCTACGCTCTCGGGCCATCCGTCGTCTAGTTGTTCCGATCTCGCCTATACATGGGCATTCCAAGCCTGCATCAACTTTTCAAGACTGGAGCATTCGCCAAACCGATGCCCTGTGCGCCCACCCATGTTCAGCCGAGGAAACTGGTGGAAGCTGGTCCGCGCGCGGCAAGCCCGCTATTGCATGCCCACAAAGCGGACGGCGCTGTTGGAGCAACTCCGGAAGATGGCGGCAAGGGCCTCAGCAGCGGGCTGCTCATGCCCACCTGCAACTACAGCAAAAGGTCAGCCGCTATATTGTCTTGTGCCAATTCAGGCCCTGCTCCATTGCCCCAACACGCGATAACATTTCAGCTGGGTTTGCTGTTCGCGCGGGAAGCTCAGGTTACGGACACAGGTGATTCCGAGCTGTGCTCGGAATCGTTCCGCCGCATCTTCCGGCCGCTGCTTTCGGAGCTGCAGGCAGGGTGAAGTTGGATCATTCGTGTCAGAACCTATATGCGGGAATTTGACCGGAGTCTATTGAATTTTCGACGGCGCGGCCAGGCGCGGGTGCAGCGGCAGTGCGCTGGACGCCACACGCTACGTGCTCTGCAGCTCAAGGGGCGTGCTGTTTCCCTCTGCAGCTCTATGTTTCCCGTGTAGGCACGCGCTCTGATAGAAGCCTCGACTGGCTGGACGTTGAAGAGGCCTTGAGCAGTCGGGCGCTCATATGCCACGTTTGCTCAGCCCTGCTGTGCTCATTAGCAGCAGTCCGGCAGCATTTAGCCGCTTGATCTGCCCAAGGAGTCTTCACGTTCAACGTGGAGGCGCCGGCCTTTTTCTGCGCGGACCGCGACGGCTCCTTCGAGCAGCTCCTCCACCAATTCACCATCAAGAACTCGGAAGAAGTCGCCGTCCCCTCAGGCAATTTTGCATTTTGGGCTGTGCGCCCTATCTTGCGCGCAAGATAGGGCGTGCCTGCATACACGCAAAAGATCGCGTCCCGCTTTCTGTTGACACGTGTGCTGAGGCAGACAGCCTGGGAGTGACCGACCGTGTGGTTGAGGAACACCGCTCCCGGGTCGAGCGATGGCTCTGCCGCGCCATCGAGGCAAGGGTTTCAATTTCAAGTTGCTTACAGCAGCTGTCACAAACACATCAGACACAATGTTGCGCGAGTTCTTTTGCAGGATAATGCGAACTACAAGGCCACGCAGGAGGAGGAGGAGCCGTCGGAAGCGCCGCCGCCCGACGCAGTATTTATGTTCTATGTCTATATATATGTTATATTTATATTCTCCTTTTAATATTTATTTCACATTAATCTTTTATTTATATTGTATATTGAATTAAATTCATGTACAAGCTGGGACCGGCAGTTAGAATATGAAAGTTGGGGATTTATCGAAGTGAATTCTCGCCGGCAACAAGATCGCTGCGGAAGGAATTTGCAGATAGAATATGCGTAATGTGGGGTGCAGATAGAATATGACAGGACATAGTATGTATGGCGGCTATAATATGTTCTGTGAGTTTTCGAAGGAATTTACATAGCTGTTGAAACAGATGCGTATCTGGTGGCTTTGCTATGGAAGCAATGCTTTTCGAACACAAGTGTTGTCGTCAATCTTTCTCCCTTAAAGTTGTTGGTTGGAACGGTACATACTGTTTGCTCTCTTCCTGAGTTCTTGTGGTGAAGAATGTGCAGCACCAGCAGCACCACGCAGAATACCAGCAAAATACTAGCAACCAACTTGCGTGACGCAATGTAGTTTTCACAATGTTTCTTTTTGTATGGATTCTGTTCTAGCTGCTGAAATAGATACTGAAGTCTATCAACTTGTCGCCAACAAGCAGACCCAGCTAATACGGGTGGTCAGAGCCACCTATCCGAATGTGGAACCGCAGCCACCTCCAGCACAAGACCGACTGCCCCCCTCTGCACACCGAACCTCAAGAGATGCCCGGCCCTGCGCAGCTCGCTGTCTACCGGCTCAAGGTGGTCAAGCCCACAGAGGCTAGGGTGAGCCAACTCCTGGCGGAGTGGCGCAGCACCCGCCCAGGAATTGGGTGCAAAGGCAGCGCCAGACCGCACAGGACCAACCACAATGCATTCACGATGACAGAAAGAATTAAATAGCACGAATGATGCACCATCAATTATATATCTTGATTCTATCATAGATTGCTTGAGCAAGTAGGTTGATCACCGGATTATGTTGGCCAAAGGATCCCCTGAGGTTGGGGTGGTACGGTACGAACTTGCTTGTCTTTTTGTGAATTCTGGTGGTGAAGAAGTGCAGTTAGAATATGGATATGTTTGGGTGTTTTTTGCCTCGCTCACTTCACCACCAACACAAGCAGCACCATTCAACCATGCAGAATACCAGCAACCGTTTTTGGTACCATGGATTCTGTTTTTGTTTCCGACATGCTGAAATAAACGCTGAAATGGGTCAATTTGCCTTGAGCAAGTACAGTAGATTATGTTGGAAAATTTTCGGACCTCGAGATATCGATGGAGAGAGAGAGAGAGATAAATAGATAGATTTCCCTTGAGGTTGGATGGTATGGTACAAGGCTCTAATTTTTTTGGTGAATTCTGGTTGTGAAAAAGTGCAGTTTGAATGTGGTTTGGATATGATCGGACGTTTTTTTCCTATCATTCACCACAGCTGACAAGCACCAGCAGCACTACGCAACCACACTGAATACCAGCAAACAGCTTGCACGATGCAGTTTTCACCATGTTTGTTGTTGAATGGATTCAGCCCTATTTTCCAACATGCTGAAAGAGACACGTACGGTACGGGTAGATTATGTTGGCCAAAATTTCCGAGGTTGGTTGGTACGGTAAAATTTGTTTGTACTCTTTGTGAATTCTGGTGGTGAAAAGTGCAGTTAGAATGGGGATATGTTTGGATGGTTTTTCCTCATTCATTTCACCACCAACCCAAGCACCACACAACCCCGCACAAAATACCAGCAAACAACTTGCGCAATGCAATTTTCATCATGTTTGTTTTTGCATGGTTTCTGTTCTATTTTCCAACATGCTGAAAGAGACACGTACAGAAGATTATGTTGGACAACAGTTTTCCCAACATTGGTTGGTACTGTAAACTTGTTTGTACTCTTTGTGAATTCTGGTGGTGAAAAGTGCAGTTAGAATGTGGATATGTTTGGATGGTTTTGTTCATCGCTCACTTCACCACCAACACCAGCAGCACCACACAACCGCACAAAATACCAGCAAAAAACTTGCGCAATGCAATTTTGACCATGCTTGTTCTTGCACGGGTTTTGTCCTGTTTTCCAACATGCCGAAAGAGATCCTTACAGTAGATTATGTTAATGTTGGCCAAAGTTTTCCCAAGGTTGGTTGGTACGGTAAAACTTGTCTGTACTGTATTCATATTATTTTCACTTTTATTTTGTATTAGTATCCTATCTATATATATATATATTGATATGTTATTGTAGATTGTAAGTGTACTATTTTTAGTATATGTATGGTTTGTGTTTTGTCATACATACATTATTTTATTTGCATTATATTTAATTACTTATATTTATACTATATCTATATCGTATATGTGTTCTTACATATTTATATAGTATTTGTTCTTTATGCTCGTATACATGTATTTTCAAATAAACTATAACACAATATGATTTAATAAAACATAATATCATACAATATGATTTGATATAGAACATACAATACAATACTCTACTATACTACTGTACTACCGTTCTATACTCTATACTCTATACTATCCACTATACAATATATATATATATTACTACATATTATTTACTACATATTATTATATATTACTATATGTTACTATATCCTACTATATATTTATATACATTACTATATATATATAGCTATTTAATACTATAGATTACTATATACTCTTTACTCTAGACTCTATACATTTTTTGTTATATCATGTTATTACGGAATTCCTCATGGTGACCAGCCCAAAGGGCCCAAAGTATCCTCGGCCCAGGGCGAATCACTTGAGCCGACTGGGCTGGGCAGTGGCGCGGATGAATCTTGGGGCACGGGACTCAGATCATCGCAACATTTGTGGTGAAAGATGCGAAAATAAGGGGAACATATGAGACACATATGGTAATATGTGTGGTGGAATATGGTAAAATAGAAACCAAATCATCAAGTGTTTGACTTTAACAAAATCATCAATTTTTGCTTTTTGAGGTAGCAGAGTTCGGTTCCGAAGAATGTTTGGGTTCCTCTTTTCCAACAAAAGTTACCCTGATCAGGTGGGAAAAAAACATGGTGCTCAGCTGAAGTGGGAACTTATTCGTGGACTTCCACGAGAATTTCCGTGGATTTCTGGGATCCTATTTCCAGGGGTATTACCCTCTGGTAAACTAACATAGCTATGGAAAATCACCATTTTTAATGGGAAAATTCACTATAAATGGCCATTTTTAATAGCTACGTTAAATTACCAGAGGGTACACAAAGGTTGATCAATGACCTGGTCCTAGTTCAACCCCAACTTTTTTCGCCAACGGGATGGAATCTCCAACAGATAGTTAAAAGTGATGTTGAAAAACGCCCAAAAGTGGACCCGTTACCAGCCCGTGTTACGTATTACGTATAGAATCGAATACAATTACATACATCATCATACATCTAATCTGTGAAAACATAATTTTGATTTTCTTCAAACTTCCCTTGATAGATGATTCGGAGTCAGAATTTCAGAACCGACCCACGGATAATGAGTATTTTTTGCAAATTATATTATATATACACACAGTATTGTGTATTGTTGTATACATACAGTAACATATGTATCCATAGTTTTAGGGGGCCCATATCCCAACTTGTGTGATTTATTATCATAGTTATCTCTGAGTATTACATACGTAGAAAAACTATTATAGTTATCATATATCATATTTATCATATATCATATGTCTCATATATCATATTTATGAAACCATTACACATATATATATATGATATACATAAGTTGACTAGTTTCACATATAACCATCACATATAACCCTTACATATATATATATATATAAAACCCTATAAAACCATATAAAACCATATAAAACCATATAAAACCATATAAAACCATATAACACCATGTAACACCATGTATAACCATATACAACCATATGTAATCATGATGTTTTATAACCATATAAACACTACCATTACATATATAGTTATATTAGTTATATTATAATGGTCATAATGGTCATAGTGGTCATAATGGTCATAGTATTACGTAAGTATATAGTATATATGACAATAATGACCATAGTAAATGCATAACCATAATTGGTATAAATACCCATAGATGTATATACATATATGTATTACATATCACCATAATCATTAGTGTATATATATATATATCCCATCAACTATATATAACCGTAATCATCGTATATATGACCATATCATTATGGTTGACCACAGTTATACCCATAAGACTGACTCCACCTCCACCTGCAGCGCCGATCCCTGCGACCAAGGGTCCTGGTGAGGCTCAGCTCTTGCAAGATCTGGGCGATGCGGCTTTGAAACACAAAGCCCAGTGTTTTAGCAGCAGATGTGAAAAGGACTCCCAAGGGTTCAGTTGGGGTTAATGGGTATATGTATATACTACGTATACATACAGCACATATATATATATATATGTGTACACATATACACACACACATATACATACATATATATATATATATCTATACACATGCACTCCATGTATACATATATATATATATATCTATACACACGCACTCCATGTATATATATATATTATACACACCATATATTACATAGATCACATGATTTACCCAGACATTACCATGTCGCACGGCTCAGGTGGAGCGCTCAGGATGTGTCGCTCTTCACCTGGAGCTTCGCCACGCTGCAAACGTGGCATCCGGTGCTTCATGAGGTGATGCACGAAGGGATGCAGCAAGAAATCTGGGTCAACAGCCTCTAGTAGTGGTGTGAAATGGGGTTATGAAGGGGACAGTACTTATTACATCTTATTACCATAGTGACGCAACTTACAGTAACTAAGAATATTTCTGGAATGAGATAAGCCTCCACTGTTGTCAAACGCGGCTAGCTGGGAAATGCACGAGGAAATTGGGGGATCTTCCAGCACGCCATGTGACATAAAAAGCAGAGGGCAAACTGTTAGCCACCTATTACAGAGGACAACATACTTCAACTACCCTCTGGTAATTTAACATAGCTATTGAAAATGGCCATTTATAGTTGATTTTCCCATTAAAAAATGCCATTTTCAATAGCTATGTTAAATTACCAGAGGGTAGTCTTCAAACAATGATTGTTCGGGTAGCCAGCTATGGCTCAGAAATGGGGTACCTCTGTGAAACCACCATTTCTTGGCAAGTCAACCGTCCCAACATATCCCCACAATGGGGGTCAATCGATTTGAGTTCTACACACATGGGCTTTTACCCACCTCAATCATAAATTGCACCCACCTATGATGAGGCGAAGTTCTGTGGTATCACATGATAGGGATTGAACCGGCATCAACTGAGGAGGACTGAACCAATACGTGTGTTCCACATGTCTCATGTGATGGCTGTCAACTGAGGATTATCTAATAATTTTGAAAGTCAATTGGTGGTCCTTTGTCGCAAATCGGATGCTCACCACCAACCAGTCAGTACTGTAAACAAAAAGAAAGGGAACCCATGGACAAGACCGGGTATTATTGTAGTGAAATTAGTCAACACCAAAGACTTAGTTTTGGGCACAGGCACCCAGTATAGTAGTATAGAATACAATAGCTAATCATCCTGGAGTAGAGTATGCCCAACTTTGAGTATCCCTCAGGGCGTTGTTTGAATATCGCAATGTGGGAAAGCCAGCAATGGGGATTTGCGTTGGCTTTATCAAGATGCTGTTTTTATGCCAAACATCATTGGGAAAATATGGGAAACACACCTATACTACCCTCTGGTTATTTAACATAGCCATGGAAAATGGCCCATTTATAGATGGTTTACCTATTAAAAATGGGCGGATCTTTCCATGGCGAACTGTGAGTCATAACCAGATGGTATCTGGATCTACATCTTTTTTTCGGGAAACTCATGGGATATGACTAGCTGCAGCTTCGAGGGAGGCTCTCAATAAAGTTGGGCCTCATTTCCGGTGGAAAACTGGACCAAGCCAATTTTCATGTTGGTTCCTGCATGACGCTTTCTTTCCAAAACCGGATTATATAATAGTCAGTCATATATTATTCATATTGTGCAAGTGATCATATACACTCTGCAGAATATAAACCATGGCATTTTTAACAGGAACATTATTATAAACCGTGGATTTTGGGACCTATTCTCGGCACCATGGGCAGGTTCGTGTCGCAGCTCTCAGACAGGCGCTGAAGATGGATTGGGGAGGGAAGTAAGAAAGTTGGCAATACCATATATGCCCAATACAATTTCTGAAAGATCTCGTCTGCCAAAATGTTACTCATTGATACTTCTTCTTCGCTTTGGGCGCTTTGGTTTGTGGTCACAAGCCGCCAACTCAGATTTGCCGCTACACGGCGAGTCTTCCGCATTATGGAAAAAGAGTGATTTCATTTAAGAGTGCTTTTTGATGATTTTGATCCAACAAAACTTATGAATGATGATTCTTGATCCAAAAAAATCTTTAGAAATGCTCTAGAAATCTTTAGATGTTTTGATCCTTTTTCTTTTCGGATTTTCCGTTTGATTCGGAGCGCCGGCGCCTACAGGGACGCTCCAACTTGCAGAACTTCGGTGAGCAGGTGGGGCTAATTCGCAACCCTCCGGTAATAATTCTTTTCCGTTTGCTATGGAAAAGTCATGATCCATCAGAATCCATCACCATTTGATGATGTAAATCATCGAAGTCAACGGGCCTATTAAAACAGATCCAGATACCATCTGGTTATGACTCACAGTTCGCCATGGAAAGATCCAACCATTTTAAATAGGTAAACCATCTATAAATGGGCAATCATAGAATTGGATGATGGGAAAATTTACAGGAAAGACCTATATTTGATGGTAACAACCATGGTTTTGTGTAGATTTTCCCTTAAACCAATCCATTGACGCAACTTTCCATAGAACTGTTAAATTACAGGGATTCATACGGATGATCAGGGAAAATCGTGGAACATCTGCATCGCATGGTACGTTTTACATGCCAATCAGAGCCGGCGCTTCCTGTTCACCAGGAACCATCATGATCCATGATCGAAATCACTAACCCATTACAACACGCAGCATTTTCTAAAAGCCCCCCCAGCTTTTCCATCATCGACAGATCACAGGATCTCTCCAATTTCACCTGGGGTTTGGGCCTCGGAAGCCGACGACTTGCCGATCTTGGTGCATTTTCTGCGTAGCTTCGGAGAAGTTGCGCCTAAGAAACGAACTTGGCTTGATTTTTCCAGGTTTTTTAGGGTTTACTGTCATTTTCCAGTGATACTATACTATGGATGACACCCACCGTACTTAGGGTTTACCGACATTTTTCAGGTTTAGTGCCCATCTGAGGTCTAGCCAAGTTGCAGATCAGGGACCAAGAATTGATGAAGATGGTTGGCAAAGAGGTCTTTGGGCAGCTGAGGGTTGTGCTAAGTGGCCTTGTCCAAAAAGGGCCCAAAATGTTTCCATTTTTCAATTAGGAAACAGCCCATTTTTTCCATGGTGGATTCTTTGGGGGCCAGCCCATCAGGTGGATTCGAAAACCACACCATTGAGGTGAGCAAAAACTGTTTAAAAATCTTGCATTGAGATTAGACATAAATGACATTAGACATGGAAATGGTTGTATCTAAACTTTGGTAATCCAAGCTGGCAAGCCGGACAAGCCTCAAAAAATTCATCGGAAAATGGAGAGAAATCAGATCCGAGTCCCAGGAAGCCCTGGTTTCGGATGGAATCTATGCATTTTAGGGTCAGATTATTGTGGGCATTTAATGGATAGTATATATATATATATATATATAAATGCCCGTTTGATGATGATTACTGCAAACATAACGCAGAGTCTTAGAGTCTTCGATGATTCATCTTTGATTTTTAAGGGATGAGCAGAATCCAGCTGCATTTTTTCCTAATCGGAAAGCGCAGGTCGAAGCAAAGCTCTTCGAGTTCAGCCATATGGGATTGGTGTGCTCCTTGGCATGACCGGGTTAAGCCGGTTAAGCCTCGCAGATGTAGAATCAGAACATATACAGAACATATACAGAATAGGTAACCAAATAACCGTCACCGCTACCGGGTAGATTCGGTCAAAGAGAATGTGAAGATGATTGAAGATTATTGATTGAACTCGTTGATTCAGAATGTCACTTTATGTCATGTCAGTCCTGACTTGTTTGCTTTCGTGGGCTGTCCATTTGATAGAATCCCCTCATCAAGCAGCGACGCTACCATCCTGCTGACAGGATCACTCCATCTGAATCACACCTGACAATGACACAACCAGAAATGTCCCTGGAATCCTGGTGAGTACAGTAAGGGGAACTATCCCCAAATGGCCCAACAATTCAGCCTGAAATACCCAAATGTTTGCCCAGATTTTTATCATGGTCCGAGGCTCCAAAACGGCAGACTTTTTCAGGTTGCTGAATCACCAGCAAGTCTGCGGAAATGTGGACTTCTACAGCGGATCCATGTCCCATTTGTTGAGAAAAATGACACTTTGGAAAATATTTATAATGTTCATTCATGTTCATTATATCCGTGGATTTCCCCTATGAGCTTTGCATCTTTCCCCACCTGCCAGGTGAGGGTCTCTAGATTTTAACAAAGGTGCAACTCCTTTTCCTCCTTACCCGCCTACTCCGCTGTCTTGTGGACCTCTCATCTTCTTCATCTCCTCTGGCAGCTGCTGATGCTGTGGGCCTCGCCTGTACCCGAACACCACATCGCCAGCTCCGGATGCAGCGGGCCCAAACACATGCCAAAGAGAATGCCAGACATAATGCCAGATAGACTGTCACAAAGGATGTCAGAAAGAATGTCAGAACAGATGCCAGATAGAATGTCAGAATATATGCTAGAAAGTATGTCAGAATAGATGCCAGAAAGAATATCAGAGTATATGCCAGAAAGAATGTCAGGATATGTAATATATAATCCTCTCTACCTATTACTAAAACCCCCTCCCCCCAAATGGTAAACACGGTGATCTATTTTTATTATTAGATATTATTAGGGGGTATTTAGTATTAGGGTGCCCCTAATATTGGAATGAAAACCATAATAAAAATAAAAGCAACTCGATTTCAAATTTGATTAAATTCCTTATTAAACTCTATAAAAGATTTTGCCAAAAACTGGATTTCGATGCTGTCCCTTAATATTCCAATGAAAACCTGAATAATAAACATAAAAAACGCGATTTCAAATTTGATTAAATCCCTTATTAGAATCTATATAAAATATTGCCAAAAACTGGATTTCGAAGCTTTCCCCTAATATTCCAATGAAAACCTTAATGATAAAAATAACAAATAAAACTTGTGAGATGGGACCCTATTTATAAAACCTCCAGGTGGCAATCTATTTTTATCAATGGGGGGTTATTGTTTCACCATCCTGTTCTCCTATTGATTCTCAATTACCACAATTAAGAATCCAATTGTGCCCAACAAAAAAAAACGAAGTGCCACACCAATCCTATTTTTTAATTTGGGGGAGTTTTAGTAATAGGAAGAAGGAATTACACACATACATACATATATATATATTATGCCATACATACTTCCAGATGATATGTCAGAAACTATGCCGGAATAATTTGTCAGGGTGGGGATCACTGGAAGTAAAATTGTTTTGTTGATGACATTCCCCCAAACACATCCCCTTTAATCCCTACTTGGATGTGCATCCCACTTCTAGTAAGTGGTTTATAACCCATATACAACATATAATCTCATACATGGCGATATTCCATCAATCTAACATAATCTAAATGTTTCTTCACCCATTTCTAAGTGGGATGCACCTGCCAGGCACCATCTGGGGCTTTGCCAGCCTTCGTCTGGCAACTCCTTTTCTTTCTCGGGCCAGACTGGGGACTGGATGATGCCCTGGGTCGTTGTGGACGAAGAATGAGTTGATGGGTTGATTCCATCCCAGCTGGAATGATGATCCAAAATGAGTTGGTCTCTTGTTTTCACGGGGTGTAACAAGAGAGCAGTGTATTTTTTTGGGCTATTTGATGAAGGCATGATTATATGAGAATGCTGCTTCACTATATCAATATTTGTTGGCTGGTGGGGTATTTCTAGTTGGCAAGTTAAACTTGCTAAAAGTTAAAACCCAATAGTTGTTGGACGAGGCTGAAAAACACCGTTTTTTTCTCAGACCACAATGGATCTCTGAAGCACAGGGGTTGATACATGTCTGAATGCAAAAATGTGAAGCATCACCAGGGTTTCTCCAACATATTGTAGGTGAATGATTCTCTCAAATTCTCAAGAGGTGGGGGTGATTTTAGCCATTTTCTTTATTTTCTTCGCGAACATGTCCCTTGTATCTGAGTGTTGGGAGCAACCCTCACCCTAGTTCAACTAATTATCACTAATCAACACTAGTCAAATAATTCATATTAGCTGAATTAACTCACATTAACCCTTGATTTATGGGCCATTAACATTCACCCATTTCTAGGAATCGATGGTTGCTAAAGTTGCTTCCTGGCTTGGGTTTCCCCGCATTTCGTGGCATCACATGTCGAGCGTCGTCGTCAGAGGCACTTGATCACATCAGAGCTAGCAACGTGAGGACGTCCGACGGTCGATCCGGTCGTTTCCTGCAGATCTTCTGCCATGGAAATCACCATGTTGAATAGGTAAACCATCTATTTCGATTAGGGCCATCTATACCATGGCTATGTTTGCTAGTCACATGTTGTCACGGGAAAAAGTGGTCACAGTTTGCTACAAATTCTCATCGTTGAAGTTGTCATTCTTTGCTCGAACTTGTCATCATTTGGTAGACTGGTTGGTGGCTTGGAACATTTTTTTTCCATTGGGAATGTCATCATCCCAACTCCCAACTGACGAAGTCATATTTTTCAGAGGGGTAGGTCCAACCACCAATCAGTTATGTATATAGGTATTATAGGTATTATAACCACTATTATGATATAATCCCATTATTGATGATTATCCCATTATAATCCCATTATAGATATATTATTAACCATTATTGACCAACCAGGTAGAGTTTGTCAACCAGGGGTCGCTGCCTGGGATGGGAGAATGGTCTGGTTCAACAATTCTGTGGAGGCAGTGAAACTGACACAACGCACGCGCGTCCGTTTCAGAGAGAAATGCTGGTGTTAGGTTCCCGAACACAAAAAATGATTTCCCGTGTTTGGTGAAGAGTTTATACATATATATATATATAATATGGCAAAATGATGCAACATGAACATTTTTGAACCAGACCCGCTGGGATGTTTCTGATACAGGCACATGAATTGAAATATTAGGTTATATATGTATTTACCTACAGTAGCATATCATATCTGTCACTATTTGTCCATTATACCATATATCATATCATATCATATCATATCATATCATATCATATCATATCACCACATATATGTATTATACCATATCATATCATTATTTACCATATATATATATATATATGTATTTACCATATCATATCTGTCACCATACACACTGCATATTGCGAGTTTTCTTTTGACGCATTGGTCCCACGGTGGCTTATTGGGGGGCTGTAGCATGGTGGCCTATGTTGGCCTAAGCTCCACGCGAAAGATGCACAGAAGGTTGACCTTAGTAGGGTGATAAGGGAGTAACATGGTATACATATATAATATACAATATGATATAATATGATTTAATATGATATGATATATATATACACTATAATATATATATATACTATAGTATATATATACACTATAATATATATATATATATACTATAGTATATATATACACTATAATATATATATACTATAATATATATATATATATATACACTATAATATACATAAATATATATACTATAATATACATATATATACACTATATAATATATATACTACACAATATATATATATACACAATAATATACATATATATATAAATACAATAATATATATACACAGTAATATATATATATATACAATAACATACATACATATACAATATATATATATATATATATATGTATACTTACTATGATATATATATATTTTAACTATGATATATATATACACTATAATATAGATATATATATACACACTAATAATATACGCACATATATATATATACACGCTAATATTATATATACATATATACTCGAATATATATACTATAATATATATACTATAATATATATGTATATACTTTGACATATATACTATTATATATATATACTAATATATGTATATATACTATAATATATATATACATACTATAATATAATATATAATTTATAATATAACATAATATAATATAATATATAATTTATAATATAACATAATATAATATAATATTATATAATATATTGTATAATATGTGTATAATATATATATAACATAATATTTGTATAACATATAAAATATAATACATGTACAACACATAATATATATAGATTACAACACATAATATGTATATTATGTATGATATATAATTAAACAAACATATAAATAAATACATATATGTATATATATACATTATTATACATATTAGATTATATAGATATGATATTGATATATATATATATATAATATAGATAGATCGATTGATACAGATATTGATACCCTTGGCTTTAAAACCCTACCAGTACACATTTGTAGGGTGGAAACTAAAACCCCGGGTTTAGCGGTGATGATGCTGGAAACCCTGGGTTCATCACAAGATTTCCCACAGTGCTTCTGCTTTGTTCCATGACGTATTTCTTAGATATTCCACCATTCAACCTTACTTGTCAGGACTTCACATCTACTGTACACCGAGGAAAATGCAGCCCCAACATGGAAAAGTATGGCTCTGGAATTCAAATCTTTAGCCACCTGTAGCCCAACAGTCCCTGTATTCAAAACAAACTGTGCCGATGAGAATCCAAGACTAGTCATCGGGGAGATGTGACCAGTCCCAGTGCTGCGTTTTTGTAGCTACAGATCTGAAGATGTACCAACTTATGTGTATTCATGTTTGTGGATGGTTGCGAAACCCTGCATCAGTTGATAACTGTTAGTAACCATGAAAGATGGGATTATCATCTATCAACTGGTGGATTTTTCATATAAATAATGGGATTATCATGGGATAAACCACTAACTGGTGGATTTTGTTCCATCCACGCCATGAATCCAGCGGAGGATGACACCGAAGGACAGCACGATGCTGTTGTGGTCCATGGCCACCTTGCGACATGACACGCAACGTGAGTCTGGACCTCCAGATGTGGCTGTGATATGCTGTGCTGCATTTGAAACAAGGGGGTTATAGATGGTTTTTGTTTCATTTTATATCCTCAGTTACAATATTTGTACATATGTGGTTAGGTCATGAGTTATAAACCAGTTTATATTATATAATGTTTATATCCTCAGCTATGGTTGGGTTTTTTTTACCACTCACGATGCCTAGGATGCACCGATACCAATCTACGACAGTGGGACCAACTGGTGACCGTGATATTGATATTTAAAAAATATGTGTCCTCGTAAGCAAATCTGAAACCCAAGATGAGTGTGGGTTGAAAAAGTGTTGAACATTCGGGCATATAAACAAACGACCCAGCTTGAGGTTACGCTTACATCTTTTGTATTCGCCATCCATCTTTTTTTGGTAGCCAATAAAATCACCCACACAAACTGGTGCAAAACGTGAACTCAACTGCTGTAGAAACCCAGAGAGATTGATCAAAAAATGCGGCAGCAGAGGCTCTGACAATCAACCATGGATGGCAATTGAACATCCTATATAAATGGAGGTTTTAATGGGAACATCATTTATAAATGACGGGTTTTTCATTGCCATGTTTCATTACCGGAGGGTAGTTTGTATATAAATGTATATAATAGGATGTCAAATCGAATCAGATACAATAACTTTGCACCACGTAGTTGCCAATTGGTCGCTGGTCGCAAAATTGCAGAAACTGTCGTCAATAGTCACCAAAAATTTTGGCCAGAGAAGTGGACACTGAATCTGGCAGTTGGAGGTATCTACAATGCGCTACCCTTGACCAAAGACCGAAGACCACCGCAACGCCATGTCCTTACCATTGCCGGCACGTCGTGGCTGAGGCTCCTCTACCATCATGTAGCTGATCATGTGATCGTGCCACTTGGGGAAGCATTGGTGTTGCGGATCCCGTTGGGGCAGCACCCTCTGGGAATTCGGTTGTCACTTGAATTTGCGTCCTAATGTTTGATTCTGAGTGCAGCAACAGCCATCAAAATTGAAGATGTTAATACATTTTCTATAGATTGATACCAGTCAAGAAAATGGGACATAGATTCCCAACCATTTAAGTTGCCACTTCTGTAGTGAAGCATTTTACAGTAGAGTCTTGGGGTTGTCGACTTTGACCCCACCCTCTGCTTTTTCAGGGTAACCTTTGACCTAACCTAACCATAAACATCGGGAAGTACTCAACTCGGGCTATAATTGTTGACACAAATTGTCATTTATTTAAAGATCTTTGATTTAATAAATTTCGTTGGTAGCTGATCTCAATGGTACGAAGAAACACAGGTTTCAGCTGATCACCTTGGTGAGACAGGTCTACATCCCGAAGAGATAGAAACGGTGAGGGGAACTTTACTTTTCCACTTTTTTGGAGGGGCTATAGCGGCTATACTCCAATAATCTTCAATATACTGTTAATACTAATATGGAGTACGAGTGTTGGTCAGGCAACCAGTAGAAGTGCAATGCTCAACACTGCGTCCCAGTTTGGGAATAGTTTGGGGTACCGATGGGCCCCGCAAAAAATAGGTCTTAAACCCTCCGTCTTGAAGGGTTGCCTATAGAGTTGATGGGACAATCTACGTCGGACTCCCCCTTTGATTTTGGGTGCAGTTCGACTAATGTCACTAATTAGCGCCAAGCTAATAGTAGTGGTTGTAAAACCATAGAGGTTTAATCATGTTATATCCAAAGTTATGCTTGGAATCCCATGGTACATATTTGGTACATATGGTTAATTTGGTACAAAAATAACCCCCATCACCTGCACCTCCCATGGTACATATGAGGCCCGGAGCATCGCAATTTCAAGCCCAGGAGTCCCGTTTCTATGGGATTTGAGTCCAAGAACAGGGTAGCCTTGATCATCATTTTATACATTACCCTTTGGTTATTTGACATAGCTATGAAAAATGGCCCATTGAAACAGATGATTTTCCCAGCGTTTGACACCTCCATTGAATTATAATGGATTTTCCAGTTCGCTATGTTAAATAACCAGATGGTATTATTTATGGCCATAGTGCATCTCCAAGTCTGGTAGTCTGGTGCATCTCCAATCTTTATGGACAGTACCGTTTAGTGCACGGCACATGAGAACGACCCAAGCTGGCGTTCTGGGGACCCTTTTTCCCCTTTTTTCACCCACTTGATGTGGTAAACCGGTCAACCCAATCAAATATCCCCAAGTCATCACCATACATGGGTGCGAAAAAAAAAAAAAAAACATGCCCAAATGGTGTCAGCTGGATGGCCCCGATCTGCTTGAATCGGACTGATTGCAGTCCAAGCTGGCGTTCTGGGGTGGATTCACCGAAGAGAAAAATGGTGCAAAAAAACAGGAGGTATGGCGCCAGGTCTGTAAAAATTGTGTATCCCATTCCAATGTTTTTATCCACCCAGCCCGGACGATCACAGAATTTGACATTGTTGTTTTCGAATGTTTAATGCCCCAAAAAGCAACCCCATGTAACCCCCAAAAAGATCAAACACGTAGATCTCACTTAGTGCTGGCTTTTCTATATCTTTTTGGGGCTTCCAACTTTCAGCAGCGAAAAGGACGTCTCGATTTGCCTCTGGGCCTTTTGTACAGCCCGTGCTTTGGCGTCAAATCTGGTCGCGTCCCGGGGGGATGCCTAAACCAATAGCTGGCCGGGAAGAGTAGGGACATGTTATGATTGACCAGTAGCTTTGCCGGTACTGATGAGAAATTTTCGGACAAGCTCATGGTTGTTGGGACTCAGATTTTTGTTTAACAGCTAGTTTGATGTAGTCTGTGTATATGTTTGCACATCTTTGCCAGGAAAACATAGGAATATCACCAGTCATATTGGAGATGGCAGGAACATCTGGGGTCAACATATGGATGGGCCCAACGAACTGGGCCATGCTTTGGACTATCCGAAGGGTTGAAGTACGACCCACACGTACCAGACATATTTGAGGTCGTGTTTGCAGCTAAAGCCTGCTAAATTGCTAAATCTAAGTTTGTTGGAACGAATTGGCTAGTCAAATCTCCCATTTCTGTTTGACACATCTGTTCAATGCCATACATAATATGAGTTTGTCTAACTTCTGGAATACCCAAAATTCACTAGTTTTAGAACCTAGTTTTAGCCAACGGCATTAGCGACCCCTGCGGTTTTGGCATTTATGCTGATAGGATGCAAGTTGCTCTTGAAATTGATGCATGCGCAACTGACGTCACGTCACTGGGTTGGGGTGGGGTGGGTATGTTAACGTTCATGTTAACTTACATCACATGCACAACTGACGTCACGTCACTGGGGTGGGGTGGGGATGTTAACAGATGTGACTGAATCTGGCCAACAGAAGAAAAAAACAAGTTGAAAATCGACGAACGTTCCACACGAAACGCGCTTTTGGTAGCTGGCCCCAGTGGAACTACGATTTGACGCTCTTATCACGTTTTTACAAAGCCTTGCAAATAACATGATTTTGTGAAGGAAGCATCATGAAAAATCCATGAATTACCCCGGGGTCGCTAACCGCGCCGTAGCCTAGTTTTACCTACGACAATGATTTTCTGGCAAGAACTTGAGCGAAATCCACCATTTTTGGCCATGTATCCCATGATATCGTCACTAGACCAGCATCATATCCCCATGATGCCTGGTTTGATACGCCGCCCGTGTGTTGGTTAACTCAAAACCATCAACTTTTGGATGGTGGAATCACCACTTTTGGATGGTGGAATCACCATTTTTGGAGAGTTGCATATTACTTATACTTTTTGTTGCTTGAATATATATGTATACATATATATATATATACATATATATATACATACATACATAAATAATATACATGTTGAATCTTTATTTTAATTTTACTCAGCATCATTGCTTGTTAAATCAGCATTTTGTCGCTTGAATCACCATTTTCCTCGTTAAATCAACCCTTCCCTTAAACAAGGATTTTGCTGGTGAAATCAAACACTTGAGGGTTGTTACTTCAAACATCGAATCACTATCAAGTTTTGCTGGTTAAATACGTACACCAGCATTTTACTGGCTAAATCAGCAGCTGGCATTTTGCATGTCTGTCTCCACTCGGCGGAGCCAAAGCTTCGCAGGCGTGGACCATCCACGGGTCTTCCGCGCGCTGGTGGCGCAGATTGCGGAGAGGGAGATGACAACGAGCTTCACATCGCAGGTGCTAGAAATGTCGGGTTGAAGTACCTATGAAATACCATATTTGGAGTGATGCCAGTCAGGTAGCCAATCATGTCTCTGCACAAAAAATGAGAAACCAATTTTGGATTGCCGCATTTTGGGTTACCAAGGGTACAAGTATACCCAACCCCTGGGGGTTAACCCCGAAATCCCATTCATTAGCATTTTTCTCTTATTTCATGGCCACCTGCGGGGTTAATCGCATACTTTAAGACATACCCAAATATCATATTGTTAGATATGGTTGGTTATACATCCCATGAAAAATCCTTAAGTCCCCATGTTTTCTTGTTTAAATCCACCATATCGGCACCCAAAACCATCTCATGTTCCAATAAATCCCATTAAAATCCCATTAAAATGGATGATTATCCCATGAAAATCCCATTTTATAATGGAAAATCCCATTAAAATCCCATGATTGTTCCCCCTTTTTTACCCCGATTTTTTCCTTTGCATCAGGCCCTTGCCAATGCGACCTGGGCATGTGCCAAAATGAGGGCCGAGGCAGGGAACGACAAGTGACATCCACATTTTGCTGGAAAATTATCATATTTATTGGTCATAATTTTAATCCCCCAATATCTCCCAATGATCATCATAATTCATATCATCATCATATAATCATCATATGATCATCATATGTTTTCCCATGGTTTCTCATCATTTCTCCCTTGAAATGTTCGGTGCCATGTTTCGGTCGTGCCTTTGGCTTTCCCAAGGCGACTCAGATGGTGAAGCTGGCCACCCAGGAGGTCGCCATCTATGACGCGCACAGAGCGAACTGGAAAAAAACCCCAAAATAAATGGAGGTTTAGTGGAGGTTATCATAGATTGATGGATGACAAATGGAGGTTTCAAACGCTGGGAAAATCATCTATTTCGATTAGGGCCATCTATACCATGGCGAACTGTTAGTCATAACCAGAGGGTATATCATGGGGATTTCACCAAATCCTCCGCGCTATAGCTGGGAAAATGATGTTTAATGATGATTTTTATGGATGATGATTTAATTAATCATTGATGATTTTCATTTTCACATTTTCATGATGATTAATGATGATTGATGGATAATGATGATTCATCTATAGATGATAATGATGATATATTTATATATAATGATATTCTTATGGATTACTGTATATAATGATGATAATTCATCTATAGATGATGATAGATGACTAATGATTGATTAATGATGATAGATTTTCATGATGATAGACTTGAATGTCTTAGAATGTCTTAGATACGTGATTTATGGTGACTTGTGGTTTATAATATAGTGATTTGTGATTTCACAAGTACAAGTCGATAGTAGTTCATCTTAAAAAAAAACTGAGCTGGGGATGATGGAAACCCAGAGGCACTTCGGCGTCCGATGCGGGATTGGTCTCCACAGGCCATCTGGATTGCGGGACCCGCGGTGAGGGGTAAAACGATGTAAAAAAAACGAGAAACATAGTAACACCTTTTCGCTATTAACTTTTTTTTTCTCCGCAATTAAGTGTTTTTTTTTTTCGCAATTAAGCGGCGCCCTCTGATGTAAAAAAAACTAGGTGAATACCTGGGGTACAACCACGAATCTAACTGGGTTTTTTCATAATATGGTTCTCACCCAGCTTCCAATGCTGACATCCAAGGATGTAAAGATTTCTGGACATGTTGAGTGACCACGAAAAAATCATCTCTTGACTCAGGCGATGGGACCCCCCCCCATTTTTTAAGAGGGGAATCAGCTGGACTGGTGACTCGTTGGATGTCACGAGCCAACGTTTTCAAACGCTTTGGGTTCCAAAGAATTCAAAGAGTTTGGCAATCTTTGAGTCACCCATCCAAATGAAGCAGAGGCGGGGAGGAGGGCAGTTTTTTCAAACATCAGGATCTTTGTTTTTGGAAGTAGACAACAACATTTGTTTTTCTCCTCTCTCTCTCTCTATATATGGATACAATGATATATGATTACAGACACCTACGTTTTTTCGATACTTCCCAGGTCGGTTCCGTTCCTGGTAGGCCATAGTGACGCTGATTTGGTCCTCTTCTGAAGCGCAGATGCCCGCAGTCGAACTGTTTCCTGGCTGGGGGCAGCTGAAATGATCGAAAATAGGGGTTTCACATGGTTTCACTCATTAATCATTAATCCATATTATATAATCCCTTCCCCAATTTTTTTGATTTCTATGGTATACATGATACAACATAGACACCCCACAGATACCATGGTTTAGTAGGGGATGAAATCACACATGTGGGACCATAGAATGGGGATGTTGAATATTAGCAGGATGGACCTCAGGATGGATTACTTGTTGGATGTTGATTAAAGAGGATTCACAAAACATCAGAAAACCATTACTGTAACCTTATCAACCACCGAAAAAAAAGAACATAACCCAGGCATCGTACGTGATTGGTCGGATATACCGATATACCCGACCTAGACATGGGTTATGAACCACTTACCAATTGGGTTTTTTGCCCTCAAGCACCCAAGATGCTAGTGGATTTCCTTGGCTGAAACCTGCTTGGCCCGAGCCTCTGTGGGTGTCACTTCATGAATCAATTGATGATATTCATGGGGATGGCTCAGCAAATTGTGATCCTCGGTGAATCTTTGTGGAGGGACAACCTAACAGATTGCTTGGAAAATTAATGATGGCAAATTACCAGCCACAAAAGTAAACACTCAGACATCTTGGGTGCATTAGGTGCAGTTCTTTCCTGTTCAAATCCTTTTTTCCTATGGTATGGTCGAATTCCCGTTTTTGGTTGGTTGATTGCCAGTGTTTGCTGGTCTAATCTCTATTTTGATTGATGGAATCTAAGCTTCAGCATTCAGTAAAATCTGTTTTTTTTTTTTAAATAATGTTTGGGTGTGCATGTCGGTTGGTATGTTTTTTTTTTTTTTTACCATGGTTAGATCACCCATTTGCAAATGGAACGTTTGAGTTCGAGCAGTGACATTTTTTAGGGTCTGATCACCAAAAAAAATCAAACAGTGAGTCACTAAGACAATTCTATCTTTTGTTTTGCCACATCTTACAATGTGATGCCCCGCAGTTACAGCTTGGTTTAGTTGGCCCCCCTGATGCATGATCAAATCTAGGGCACCTAGCTGGTTGGTCACCGACCGCTGGTGATATCTCCGCAGTGAAATTAGAATACATCCATATTTCAGTCATATTTTCATCCATGGTGATAAACCAAGAATCCATATTTCATCCATACTTCCGTATTTCATCCCACATCAATATTCGTAGGTTTTTTTTCAGTATGGGATTACTATGGACAATCTCGTATGAACTCATTATTAATTTAGATATTTTTTTACCATATCAAGTCTAGAAAGGAATCAAGTCCAATCTTCATCGCAGGGCAGCAGTGCTGATGATCCTCCAGGAGGGTCAACCTTGGATACTACCCATGACTGGGAATGGTAACCATACATGTTTATGCCAACTATATATATATATGTATTTATGGTGATGACTGAGGGATGGTAAACATGTCATTGTTTACCCACAGTACGAAATATTTTATGCTATCAATGGTAAAATGATGTAACATGTATGAACCAGCTGAAAATATATAGATTCTTTGCAGATGTCTATAAAATTCTCCATGGATTACAGCGATAATGTCGCGAAACCACCATTCCTCTGCAGGTTGATTGCGATGCTGCCAGAACTGCAACGCCGTCCGCAGGCCTTCAACGAGCCTCGGCGATTCGGGGGGATCTAACGCGTTTGAGAATGGGGTGTACCATGGTGAAAATATAGCCGACTGGGACAAATGATGATGAATTTGGGAGGAACTATAAAAAGCGAGACAAACGCACATGGGGGATTTATATCATTAATCTTTAATTATACAGATGTTTAAACAAGCTTTATATGGGAATATACTGTAGCAAATGTGGGGAGATGAAAGAATATAAACCAACATTTGACATTTTGCTGCTTGGTGGTTTCGTTCTGTGGTCACCAACTGTTAAACTCCGACCTGGTCGGAGTTGAAGTCCCAGGATTTTCCCCCAGTTGAAGCCTCCGGGAATCAAACATTGCAATGGAAAATCCATCATTTATATGTGTATATATATATAATCTGGTTGGTGGTTTGGAACCATGGAATTTTATGACTTGCCATTAATCTTGGGAATGGAATGTCATCATCCCAACTGTTACTAAAACTCCATCATTTTTCGGGGTAGGTTGAAACCACCAAGCAGTATTAATATCGTGGAGATTTCTCCATTAGTGAACCTCCATTTAGATTACGGGGGATTTCCGAGTACCATATCAAAGATGACACCGGAGAGTGTTACTCCATCCCGGTCAAAAAAACATGTGCGGATTAGGTCAGTAGTCCTGTTATGAATAGAGGCTCAACTAAAAAGGGAACAACCAGATCTGTTCGGTGATTGGATTTCTAGCAAAAATCGTCAGCAGACATTGGAAATCTATGGCCCCACTGCAGCTTGGAGGAACCATTTTACCTGTTTTACGACTGGGTGAACTAACCTTGGAATGAAAGATTCGTACAAGGTTGTGACCCCCCCAGTTGTGTAAGTTGGTTTATATTCACCCCATCAACTCTTTTGAACATGTTCAATAAACCCGAGTTATTCAAGTGAACTAAACCAACTTAGCTAACATAAACAAGCAATAAATAAGCTATATGAACTATATAAACTATATACTGGTTGGTGGGTTCGAACCTGAATTTTATTTTCCATTCATATATGGGATGTCATCCTTCCCATTGACGAACTCCATCATTTTTCAAGATGGTTATTGCACCACCAACCAGAAACTATATATATATATGGCACCAGGCTGCATTTTTTTCAGGACCGAGATTTGGCCTCCTTGGTCTATGCGCTGAAGGTGGCTCGATCGGAGGGATTTTTTCACCGCTGTTTTTCAATCGCGTCAGAACTGATCATCTGTTATGAAAAATGACTATATAATGACATGCAAGAACATAGGGATTATTAATTATATATAATGATATAATAGATAAGCCCGGATTATCTATTATATAATAATATATATATATGTATAGAACTGATGATCACCTTTGTTTCAGTATAATTATTACAGGAACATGCAGGAACTGTATGATAATGTACTGATAATATATTGGCAATCACAGTTTGACTGGCATGAACACAACACCATGAGTCGCGTGGCGAGATTACAATATCCACCAGAGTGGTGGTACCCATTGAAGCTTCGAAAGGCCCATCATTTTTTTTTAAAACACAATTTTGAATTTGTTGAAGGGAACATGCAGAGGTCCACCTACATTTGGTAAGCTTGGTTTCTTTTGTTGCTTTAAAGCAACCGGATGAATGTTAATTACATGGACATAGATGGATACTTTGCTCCAACTGAGCTTGGATGCATTCAAACGTTACGGATCTCCTGATCAGCTTGAACATATCCTGGAGTCTGAGCGTGGACCCCAAGATGTCAAGGTTTGCGCAAAAAATGGGGGACCCATGGGGACCCCAACATCCAAATTGGTAATTTTTGATAAGCCGGTATCCATATACACATATACACATATACGTATATATACTCATACACACACATATATATATAGGTATACATGCACATACACATATAAACATATACACATATACACATCTATCTATCTATCTATCCTATCCTATCTTATCTTATATTATCTATAAATAAATTCACATCCGGTACATGTATCCCATGATACCCGACTTACTTGGTTAATCCCCATGACATATCCCGCTCTGTACCATGAACTACTTGGTGGTTTCATTTGTTATTTTCCACCATATTTAGAATGATGATCCCCAATGACGAGCATATTTTTCAGGGCTGGCTCAACTACCAACCGGTTTTTCTCTCTGGTAATCGAACATTGCAATGTAAAAAGTCCTTTTAATTCGATGATTTTCCCAGCAAACCTCAGGATTTCCCGGGATTTCCCATGATTTCCCAACCTCACAGCTAGCTGATTCACAAGTTGTATCTGGAGGAGGCTTTGTGGCCATTGGAGCACGCAGAGTCGAGGTGCCAAAGGGGGTGAAACACTGAACTGAAGATCTGCAGGTTCCATTTTGTTCCAAAAAAAAACCGGGAATTCAGCAAGAGAAATGAGGATCATGAGGAAATAACATGAAACAACCAACAAATCTGAAGAGATTCTGGCATAGATTGCATAGATAAGCCATGATTCGTTCGCTTTCGGAGATAGCCTTTGGATTTCACCGTTTCACCGGCAAGGCGTACAGTGTTGAAGTGCGTGAGCCAGGAAATTTCGAGGTTCGAAATGGGCCAAAAGCAACATGTAAAAAAAGTATCCATTCGTATCCAGAAAAACTGGATGGCTGAAGTTGAGTTTCGTTGTTCTGATTGATATATACTGTATATATATATAAGTAATTTTGTTTCGGGGGCTGAAAGTCTATTAAAGCTTACATGAATTATCATATATAAAATCATAAATTTTTGCATGCTTTTCTTCCGGCATAGATGTTATGCATTCCTAAATCATGCAATTTCCACGTTAATACTTTGTCTAGTGTGGTAAACCGGACGGTAAACCCAATATTCAACCACGGCTATGGTCATACAACGTAGAAGAATCTTATTTTCCCTTCAAAAGAATATACATAGCAACCCACAAAAAGAACATAACATCAGTTATCACTATGTTGGAAACGGATTGTGTTTTTCTATTTTGTTGGGACTTAGTAGAGTTTTTCCCACGTTTTCTCCCCCTGTTTTACCATGTTTTACCTCATTTACAGATCTCCACAGAATGCATCACGGTTTTTCTTAAAACGGCTCGTTGTACCGCATCGCCAGGCGCCATTTGCCGGCCACGGTGAAGATGTTCAAATTCCTGCGATCGCCTCCGGCGGCGGCGACCAAAAGTCGCGCGCAAGCGCAGCCCAGAATGACTTAAAGATGGTTAGCAGATCCCAGATGATCCATGTATGGTATATATATATATGATCTATGGTCAATACTCATGGTTAATAGCCATTAATAGGGGCTAGTCATCCAATGGTTCATAGGGATTTATAATGACCATTATAAGGATCCTTATTATGGATGGGATGACCATCAACCATATAGTGAGTATTGACCATGGCTCATATATTACCATATCTTACCTACATTTGGTTGATTTTTAGGGCAAATCTTGGTAAATATTCCAGCACCATGGAGCATTTTGGGATGTTAACAGATGGAATTTCTATTACAATATGCAGTCACCTGTATTGTCCTAAGAATTCTGCGTGCTGTTTTTCTTTATGACATATATAGTCTGATTGGTGGTTTGGAACATGACTTTTATTTTTCCATTGAGTTGGGAATGTCATAATCCCAACTGTTACTCACTCCATCATTTTTCAGATGGGTAGAAAAAACCACCAACTAGTAGTTGTTAACCGCAGCCTTCGGTAATTTCACATAGCTATGGAAAATCACATAGCTGGGTGGGGTTTTTGACCCATAAGATTTTGCGGCCAACTCGGACAGGAAATCCCTAGACAAATTTGGGGTCAAATTTGGTCAAGTAGTATTGGACAATTTGTGCGCGTCATATATTTATGTAGTATGTACATATAATTATATATATACAGTATATATATATATACTGTATATATATACAGTATATATATACTGTATATATAATCATACTGAAGTCTAGAATATTGAATTTCCAAACCTCATCCCATTTTATTGTATATGTTTTACATGTCCATATTCTATCCACTTCAGGATCGCTGTAAATCCATATAAATAAACAGGGACCAAGCTTCATTCTGCTTGGTTTGTTCGCCTAGTGGTTGAAATTGCAGCCTTGTCATGGCTTTGTCTCCATCTGGGGGACTAAACAAAGTGCTCCTGCGCACCCATGGACCATGGATCATTATTGTGAAGTATTCCAAACATGGAGGTTTCTCATACATGATGCGAAAAGGACACAGTGACATCAGGCTTGCAACAGAACACAGTCTTGTGATTTTTCTCATATACTTATATACTTTATAAAATTTGTGCCTAGCAGCCTATCACTGTTGCACACCAAGGCTGCCAGACTAATATTGTGACCCAAAGAACATTTTAACTGGGAAGTAACACAACAAGATTGTTTGATCTACACGCTTGATCGAACATGATTCAAACATTAATATCAAGTGAATACAAACAGCACATTTGTCCAAACCTAACCCGCATTTATCCAGTTTCGATTTTCTGGCAGTTTGGACCAGGCTAATTTCATAATTTTCTGGTTTTACCGTAACATGCCGTGAATCTCATCCGTTTTATTGCCATTTCACTGTCATTTACTCATCTTTCACAGAGCCGAGCTCATATCACAGATGGTCAGATTTTCCGTGAACTCGTCGAGTAGGGGCTCCAAGACGGGTACCCGTACCACCCTTTTTTTTTCCCATTACCCTCTGGTAAACTAACATAACTATGGAAAATCACCATTTTTAATGAGAAAATCCACTATAACCGGCCATTTTCAATGTTAGTCATTACCAGAGGGTAATCATCACCGATGAAAAAATGGCAGGCGCATCGCGTGCATCTCCCTGGCGAATCGGGTGGCTTCCTGCATCAAGGAGCGTGCAGCGTGCCGGGATGTCACGGGGCGGAACGAGGGATGACATGGTCGGATTGTGGCCACTCACAATGCAAACTTGACTGGTGGTTTTATTAAACCATATTAAACCGAGCTATATGATGCTAGATATATATATATACATTATATACACAACTGTATATGCTTGAATTATCCACCATAAATTTAAGGGATACTTTGGGATGATGATTCTCGATGGCCAAAAAAAAAATGGGTCATTGATCCATGCCGATGCCACAGAGACAGTGACTGGTGTCCAGCCACAAGAAGCAGTTTCTTCAGGGTCAGTGGAGTATTTTTTGATGTTTTTTGAATCTGCATCAGTGAACGATGTCACTGATGTCACGTGCTAGTTTGATCAAGAGACTTGCTAGTCAGAAGAATAGTCATCCTGAAACAGAAAGGCAACCAACAACTAGAGTGTGTTCACTCATGGTGGTCCACTCTTATCCATCTAAACTCATCTCCTAGACGCATGTTTCTAACAATTTTGAGTACCCTAAACCATTGGTTTACAGTGTCAGAACCTTGTGAAAGCGGTAAATTGTTGGGATATTTTGAGGGTCCGCAGTGTCAGAATCCAACAGAGGGCGGCCGCGCTGTGTTTTCTCGGCTTAGCTGGGCTCTGAGCCAAACTGTTTAGTGATATGGGCCTCATACGGGCCTCATACGGGCCTCATACGGGCCTCATACGGGCCTCATACGGGCCTCATACGGGCCTCATGAAATTTGAACGATGAACATTGCACGGAAGGCAGACAAGACACACCACTGCTGCTACTGTGGCATCATCTGCTCAAACTTCGCTCGAAGATGGCCACAGTTCGGGCGAAACGGATCAAACCAACCTGGATTCGTTGTGTTTTTTTTGCGGATGCGGGCGCTCCAAACTTAGCTAAAATGCATCCAATCCTTTTCCAATGGAACCAGGGCCAGTTGGTCCCCGACGCTGTTGGATGACTCTTGCAGTGGCCATGGATGGCGGCCATGATGTCCCACCAAGGCAGGGGTCTTGCAGGTTGAAGGCTTGTATTCTTTTGTTGTGATGACAATGATTATAATGATTATATATTAATTATTTTGTGTAGGATTATCATTGATTAGCTGTGATTAATGATCATAATTATTGTGATTGTTATTGTGATTTATTATGATTATTATTTTAGGATGACAATAATGATGGTGACGACGATGAGGATTCTTTTCACTACGATAGTAAGGTGTATTTAGTATTAAGTATTCTTATGAATATCAGTACTAGTATTACTCTTGTTAAACTCTTGTTATACATATATAACTATCAGTAGGTATCATGAATAGTGTTACTAATACTATGTATCATTCTATAACAACTACTAATGAACACTATTATTATAACTATTGTGACAGTAGAATGATACTAACTGTGATTATATATTACTATGATATACTATGATATACTATGATATACTATGATACTATGTGACACGATGTACCCTCTGGTAAACTAACATAACTATGGAAAATCATCATTTTTTATGGGACAATCCACTATAAATAGCCATTTTCAATAGCTATGTTAGTCATTACCAGAGGGTATCCAAGCTGTGATGCAGCTCCAGGCGACTCCGCGGACTGAAATCCCGTGCCCGGAGTTCCGGGCCTCTCCTGCTGGTTGTCGCCATGGTGCCCGGGGACTGGGACACCTCGCGGACACGTCGCTTCGTTGGGATTCTTGGGACCCCCGTCATGTGCCTATGGGATTGAAGAAATCCACTGATGGGATATACCCATAGGCACAGAGTGGGTATACAATACCATAATCAATTGAATGGTATATCCCATCAGTGGATTCAATGGTATATTATGGTATATCCCATACTATTGTACCATTATATAATATGGGATTATACCATAATCAATCCAATACTTATATTATCATATATTATCCACTGATTGTGTGAACTATGGTAACATTCCAGTAACTATAGGACAACAAAAAGTATCAGAAACCAGAAAGAATACTATGTTATTGGATATAACTATAGGATTTCCTATCCACTGGATGTATCAGAAACCCCTATAACATCCTATAACTATGGTATTATCCATGGATTATAACTGTGGATATAACGATGGTTGTATGCTGAAAGAAATATCCACTTGGGAAATGTGATATCCCTGCCTGCACCCCGTAGATAATGTGCAACTGCACCCCTGAGTAGATATCGATAGATAACATAGATATAGATCTGCTCTATCACTGTATCCACAACACATCCATTTCAGTACTAAGTCAGGGTGAACATTTGCTGCAGTTTGATGCCTTGATGGCACACCTCTTAAAGAGCCCCATTTTTGGGTCACAGACTGCGCTGGGGCATCCCAGCAACTGGACCTATCCATGGGGATATCTCGGATATCCAAAATTGGCTTTTAACATGATTGTTTTTGTTTTTTTTTTGAACCGCATGTATCATATGTATTCATACGCGCAACGCCTGGGTTCTGCCCAGGCGTTGCAGCGTATGTATGTCCCATTCACGAACAAATGATGTTGCAAATTACCGTAATTCCTATGGGAAAAATAACACAGGTACTAGAGACTATCAAACAAACAAGGTCAAAACACCCGAAATTCCTATGGGAAAAACAAAAACGGCATAACACCTGCAATTCCTGTGGAAAAAAACAACAAAGGTACTAGCAAATTTTAAACTCTCAAATCGTGAAAATTAAAATTCAATTAGGAAGATCAACAAAGATATTAGGGAATATTAAACTCCCACCCCCGTTAAACCTTAAATTCCTATGGGGAAAACAACAAAGGTACTAGGGACTATAAAAAAAAGTCAAAACACCCGAAATTCCTATGGGAAAAACAAAAACGGTATTAGGGAATATTAAACTCCCACCCCCGTTAAACTTTACATGCAATTGGGAAGATCAACACAGATATTAGGGAATATTAAACTCCCACCCCCGTTAAACTTTACATGCAATTGGGAAGATCAACAAAGATATTAGGGAATATTAAACTCCCACCCCCGTTAAACTTTAAATTCAATTGGGAAGATCAACAAAGATATTAGGGAATATTAAACTCCCACCCCCGTTAAACTTTACATGCAATTGGGAAGATCAACAAAGATATTAGGGAATATTAAACTCCCACCCCCGTTAAACTTTAAATTCAATTGGGAAGATCAACAAAGATATTAGGGAATATTAAACTCCCACCCCCGTTAAACTTTACATGCAATTGGGAAGATCAACAAAGATATTAGGGAATATTAAACTCCCCTGTTAAACTTTAAATTCAA